CGAGATGATCCAATCGAATCTTGCGTCCCGACGCCCGTTGTCGTTTACGAATCCCCACGACACCCTACGTCAAACGGATCATGCCCAAATCAGGCTAAAATCGTGTAATCTGAACCAGGCATAACACACCTCTATCAGCATGTGTGATTCTCCTCCACACAACAAACAACTCAAATATGACAAAAACACCTGAGGATTTAAGGAACTTGGCTCTGAAACTTAAAGACTAGTTTCGCCTGTTTTAACGCAGGCTCTGGTATTCAAACGATGTGATTCACGGCCTTGTTTTAACAGAAAAACAGTGAGTACGAATTATTATAATAAACAGCACTTCATGCTGACTTTAATTGGCAATCACAGTTTATCCGCATAATTAACAGAAGCAAACTAGCAATAATGTATATCAATCTCCGTTTGGATAAATGAGTACATGATATCCTGATATCTGAACACACGCGCACACACACACACACACACACACTGAATCAATTAGATCCATTTATGTCATGTGTAGCCTTTTAGTTACTTCCTGTTACTACTCTCTCTCTCTCTCTCTCTCTCTCTCTCTCTCTCTCTCTCTTTCTCTCTCTCTCTCTCTCTCTCTCTCTCTTTCTCTCTCTCTCTCTCTCTCTTTCTCTCTCTCTCTCTCTCTCTCCAGTATTTGTAGTCTCATTTCCTCTGGTCGGTCCTGGTTTGAGTTCCAGATGTGATCTGTAAAGGGAGGGATTATGTAACAGCATGTGTCGGTCGATCTACACGTCTGCTGTCCGTCTGTGTATTCGTGTGTGTGTGTGTGTTTCCCGCTGTGACTGTAAGGCCGGCTGATGTTGTGGTCGGCCCGTGTCTGCTTCTGTTCAGGGACTGAAATGCGCCTCTAAATTGGACCGAAATTTCAGTTTTCAAGCCCGCTGCATATTTGTATAAACCGGAGCTAAAGTTCAGCGAGACCCAGGAATCCTGTTTATCCTTCAAGTAAATGATGGAAGTAAAAAATTCAAGATTATGACAAACGTTAATTTACAAAAAATTATGCGCATGAATAAATTATTGTACATCATATAATTTACAATTTACAAAAATACAGCATTTACAAAAATAAAATAAATAAAATCAATATTGGTTTCATAGTGACTTTAACATGTCATTTTAACTCGAACGCATTCATGTAATCAGCTGAAAATAGCTGAAAATCTTTATGTAAAGATGATCTTATCTTAATATTATATTTATAATTACTAAAAAGTTATAGTAGGCTATATTTTTTTATGAGAGATTTTTAGATATTTCACAGGTATTTAGAAATTACAATAATGAGAGTAGGGCCGGGCAACGATTAATCGCGATTAATCGCATCCAAAATAAAGTTTGTGTTTACATAATATATGTATGTGTAGTGTATATATTATTTTGTATATATAAATACCCACACATGCTTGTATATATTTAAGAAAAATTTGCATATATACTGAATATAGATTTATACAAAATTTATATTATAAATAAATATAAATATTTAATGTATATAACACATTTTTTTTAAATATATACATGCATGTGTGTGTATTTATATATACAAAATAATATACACACTACACACACATATACTATGTAAACACAAACTTTTATTTTGGATGCGATTAATTGCGATTAATCACGATTTATCTCAATTAATCGTTTTTATCACGATTAATCGCCCTAAAAGTAGTTGGGTGAAGCGGTCATAACCGTGTTTTAATCAGAATAGGATCTAACCATTTTATAAGGATATATAAAATTCAATATTTTATTTTAATATTATTATGTTACTAAGAAAATATGCACTTTCTGTAAAGCTGCTTTGAAACAATTTGTATTGTGAAAAGCGCTATACAAATACATTTGAATTGAATTGAATGTGTTACATAATAAGAAATCATATCCGCTCTTCTCCTCCACCCTGCTGATTAATTCTGCGTCTGATTGAAATCATCTTCGCAGCGTTGCCAATAATTCGTCCTGGATGTCCACACCTCGTCTCCTCCCTATCCAAACACATGATCATCACACAGCAAACTTTACCTGCAGCATCTGGTTATATTCTCTGATCCAGTGCCACGACTTTAGCAAATCAACCGCATTTTGACTTCTGTAAACCTCTGATTATGAGATACAGGTCATTATCAGTGCAGAAAACACTCCCGTGGGTGTGAGACGCGCCTGTGCTGTTCACAGGAGCAAGTATGGACACCCTAACCTATTCAAAGAGCTTCACTCTGAGTCATTAACTCAACACCCTCTCCTCGGGACACAGAAACACACGGGCGGAGAAATCAAGTGCCGACGGAAAGAAAAGAGTCCGCTGCATTGAGTCTGTTTTCTTACAGGACTAGGATCAGTTTCATGACCCACTTCGCACAGGTGTGTGTACACGTTTATCAGTTTAAAGGAGTAGTTCACTTTTAAAAAAAAAAAAAACTTTTGCTGATAATTTACTCACCCCCATGTCATCCAAGATGTCCATGTCTTTCTTTCTTCAGTCGAAAAGAAATGAAGGTTTTTGACGAAAACATTCCAGGATTTTCTCTATATAATGGACTTCAATGGGGACCAAACGGTTCAAGGTCCAAATGAGAGTTTCAGTGCAGCTTCAAAGGGCTTTAAACGACACTAGATGATGAATAAGGGTCTTATCAAGCGAAACCATCGGCCATTTCAAAAATAAATAAAAAAGTTTAAGTTTTATAAGCACAAATGCTCGCCTTGCTGTTCTGTGATGAGCATTCGTGACTTTCCTGTTCATCAAAATGAACGAATCTTTCTTTGAGTCATGACTGATCGTTTCGCTAGATAAGATCCTTATTCATCGACAGGAATCGTTTAAAGCCCTTTGAAGCTGCACTGAAACTCTCTTTTGGACCTTGAATCGTTTGGACCCCATTGAAGTACATTATATGGAGAAAATCCTGGAATGTTTTCATCAAAAACGTTCATTTCTTTTCGACTGAAGAAAGAAAGACATGGACATCTTGGAAGACATGGGGGTGAGTAAATTATCAGCAAAAGTTTTTATAAAAGTGAACTACTCCTTTAAGCATATATAAAAGCATGAATGTAAGGTCATTTGTTATTGCAGTTCCACCAGAGGCCTGTAGGTGTCAGTAGTCTTGTGTTTCAGTCACAGGTCAATCACACACACACAGATCTATAATATCTCAGACATTTTAGATTAATAATCATCTCAAACACATGGATATGTGTGTGTGTGTATTCTTGTGTATATGAGAACACGTTTCAATTTTAATGTATTAATGGCCTTTGAGATGCAACATCTCATTTTCAATTGGGTCCAAATACACATACACATAATACAACAGGAAAAACGAAAAAACAGTCAAACAAACAAAAAACGAAAGCTTAGTTCACCGCACCTCAGACAGAAGACACATCACAGCTCAGACATGTTAAGTGCATCTCATTTACCTCATTACACAATTATGACTTTTATTACAAAAAATAAATAATGACATGGGTGTTACGACGTAAACATGGTTTATGAGAACATCTCCTGTGTTCTCAAATCAATCGGTCAGTGTGTGTGTGTTTATAGTAGAGGTTGTATCATGTTTCATAACATAATCAGAGCAGAGGGTCCAGTGTGTGTGTGGGTGTCTGAATATCTGTCCATATTTCCTCTCCTCCTCCACAAATCCTCCCTTTCTTTCGAGTCTTCCTTGAACCTTGAGTTGGAGAAGATCGAGAAGAACTTATGGACGTGTGTGTGTGTGTCTGTATTTGTACAGATTAGAGCAAATTGCAGTTAGCCCGCATGAGTTTCACATAACACACGATCAAGCAAACTCAAGGTCCTTGCACCCGGATTCCCTGATACACATATTTTTGCTTAGATTATCTTGTCTCAAAAACACAACAGTAAAAAACAAATTTAAAAATACATCGATTTTTAGTAACAATTCAGTGAAAAATGCAATGGGAGCAGCAAATACTAACATGATAAATACTTTTAAAGAGTATATAATTTACATTAAATAAAGGAATATATAACTAAAAAAGTATTTTTTTCACATTAAAAAAATATACATATCAATATAATAATTTATACATATTAATTTAATAATAAGCAACTCATCACATTACAGTAAGAAGATTTACATTTTATATTATTTCACTGTATATTTGAAGGGAGTACAGCAAGTAACATGATGCAAAATACTTTTAAATAGTATATTGTTATTAAATAAGTAAACATTAAATAAATATTATAGTTGTTAATTAATATGTAAATAATAAATTAGGGCTGTGCAAAGATTAATTGCGATTAAACGCATCAAAATCAAAGTTTGTGTTTACATAATATATGTGTGTGCTGTGAATTATTTTGTATATATAAATACACACTCATGCATGTATATATTTAAGAATTATTTGCACATAAATACTCTCTCTCTATATATATATAAATACATAATCTATATTATATATATTCATGCATGTGTGTGTGTGCTTATATATACAAAATAATTCTACACAGCACACATATATATTATGTAAACACAAACTTTTATTTTGGATGCGACTAATCACAATTAATATTTGCACAGCCCTAATATATATATATATATATATATATATATATATATATATTAATAACATATGAATTAATATATATATATATATATATATATATTAATTCATATGTTATTAATTAATTATAATTATTATTATTAGCTACTTATAATTATCTATTATTATATTTTTTGAATAATGATAATTAGACTTTTTTTGAATCGGGGAAAATGTGCTTAATTGTGATGAAAATATTGCTTAGTGGTCTGAAAAGTAGACAAAATAAAGATTGATTTGTTCTGAATGTTTGATTTCCATGATCTGCTGTCGGTAAACACCGCATGATCTCAGTGTGTGTGTGTGTGTGTGTGTGTGTGTGCTGTGACGTCACCGGGAGGGCATTACACGATGCTTTGGAGGAGTTTGAACATCATCATCAGTAACTTACCGATGCTGTCACTGAAAAGAGGCGTTTCGCGCGCGTCAGCGGAGTGAAGTTTCTGTGTGTGTGTGTGTAAGTGTGTGGATCATCTCACACTGGCTGTGTGTGTTCCTCCTGGAGCCTGGCGTTAGTTTTCAGCACTTTGGAGTGTGTTTGCATCGGTCGAGCTGTGATTTGTGTGTCCAGTGGAGCTGAATCATGAGCGCGAGTGGAAACGCGACGGCGATGTTCGGGATGCGTTTAGCGGACGATCAGATTAAAGTTCTGGAGGAGAATTTCACGAAGGTCAGCAAACACCCCGATGAGACCACGCTGATGCTGATCGCGGCCGAGTGCGGGCTGAGCGAGGCGGAGACCGCGGTGAGTTTAGCGGGAGATCCTCTTTACTAGCGATCGACGCGACGCGATCAACTACTACTGGAGCGACTGCGGCGCGTTCATTGGTCCATTGGGCGCGTTGCAGTTTTACCGCGTCTTTCTGATTGGTCGAATTGGCTCGCGTTTTGTTGCGTTGCCTGACGAAGGAAAAAAATTATATATAATATTTACATTATATTAAATATAATAATAGTAGGCCTAACACGTAAATGTGCTTAATTTTCATGAAAATAATGTTTATCTATCTATCTATCTGTCTATTTATTTATCTATCTATATACAACTAAGTATATATCTATCTATCTGTCTTTAAAATAGATAGATAGATAGATTTTTTTTATCATAAGCATGTGCCTCCAGTTTTAATAATGTCAAAATCTGTCTTTAATACTATAAATATTTCTTCGAATGTTTTAATGTAGTCAGAATCATCTTGATAAAATCAAAATTATAATTAAAAGTTAATTTAATTATAATAATTATAATTATTAACATTATTTAGAACATGACGCATGTCCAGAAATACAATAATACCATGGTGTGTTTTTGCTCAGTTTAGTTCAAACAGCAGATGGCAGATGAGCTTTTATTGCCTGACTTTATTTGATCAGGGAAAGGTTCGATAACAACAAATGTTAAAGTGAATAGTAACGTAATCCTGCCTCCGGAGAGGTGTTCTCCTACAGGTCTTGGGGTTAAAACTCTTTAATTGCACGATGTTCATTAAGTTCATTAATCAACCCTTCTGGGGTGTGAACGTATATCGTTTGCAGTCCACAGGAGGTATGTCACCACTATGATGTAAGCTACTCTTCTGCATTGTCTTCATTCCGGTTTTGCTGTCAGCAGCTCAAAATAACACACTGACAGCATTAAACGCCAAAGGGGGTGTGTGTGTGTGTGTGTGTTGGTGTGTGACAGTGACCCTAAACAAAGTGTTGGAACACAATAGCAGCCTTAATAGCTCTTACGGTTCGGGTCAGTGTGTTCAAACACATTTATTTATTTTAAGTTTTTATGTTATATGAGCTCATTTTCTTAATGTTAGTCCCTAGTGGACCTTTACATAAAATGAAACAATACATAGTTAAAATAAACATAATAATACAGTATAACACAATGTAAACACAATGGACAGTCAGTGGTCACATTTCTGAGTCTTTAAAGGAGTAGTTCACTTTTAAATGAACTTCTGCTGATAATTTACTCGCCCATGTCATCCAAGATGTCTTTCTTTCTTCAGTCGAAAAGAAATGAAGGTTTTTGATGAAAACATTCCAGGATTTTCTCCATATAATGGACTTCAATGGGGACCAAAAACGGTTCAAGGTCCAAATGAGAGTTTCAGTGCAGCTTCAAAGGGCTTTAAACGACAAAATGAATTAATCTTTTTTTGGAGTCATTTCGTTCATTTGGTTCGTTGAATGAACCAAATGACTTGAAAAAAGATTTGTTAATTTTGTTGAACGAGTTCGAACAGGAGAGTCATGAACGCGCATCATAGCAAGGCGAGCATTTGTGCTTATAAAACGTAAACTTTTTTACTTATTTTTTAAATGAGTGATCGCTTCGCTAGATAAGACCCTTATTCATCGTCTGGTGTCGTTTAAAGCCCTTTGAAGCCGCACTGAAACTGTCTTTTGGACCTTGAACCGTTTGGTTCCCATTGAAGTCCATTATATGGAGAAAATCCTGGAATGTTTTCATCAAAAACCTTAATTTCTTTTCGACTGGAGAAAGAAAGACATGGACATCTTGGATGACATGGGGGTGAGTAAATTATCAGCAAATGTATTTTTTTATATATATTTGAAACCCAGTTTGACACAGGAGTCCTGATGTAACGGGGCAGTGCTGTACTGCGTCGTCTTATCTAATAGATATTTTAGAGCTTGTGAGCCGCAGTTTGGCTGATTTTGACTGGAAACACATTCCATCATGAGGCTGGTCTGTTTCTGTCACTGTGATTGTGAAAACTTGCAGAAAACGCCTCTGTGATCCATCATCATACACACACAATAGAACAGGATTAGTAATCCAGGGGTGTGTGAATGAATGTATACAGTGCACTTAAATACTTAAACATTGCTTATGTTCTCGCTAAAACATGTCCACTATACCATTCAGAAGTTTGAAATAAAGATATTAATACTTCGATTCATTACGGAAGCATCAAATCAATCACAGGGTTGTTTTAACCCAGATTTGGGTCAAATATGGACAAGATTTAAACAACCCAGCATTTTTTTTTTTTTAGTTACAAAAGATTATATTTAAAACAAATTCTGCTTTTTTGAACTTTCTATTCATCAAATAATCCTTACAAAATATGATTTATAATAATCATAAATGTTTATATTAGATTAGAGTGATTTCTGAAGGATCATGTGACACTGAAGACTGGAGTAATGATGCTGAAAATACAGCTTTGATCACAGGATATAAATTACACTTCAATATATATTCACATAGAAAACAGTTATTTTAAATTTTAATAATATTTCACAATTTTACTGTGTATTTTTGTATCAAATAAATGCAGGCTTGTTGAGAAATGACATTTTACTATACATTCACATAGAAAACATCTGTTTTCGATTGCAGTAGTACACAGTATATGCACTAAATCCTCCAGGAAGTTTAGCGTGTGCACTGCCTCCTCTATGGCTTTATTTCTTAAGCAAATATGACGCTGAGAAACTGGTTTGAATAACAAACTCTGTCCTGCTTCGGGGGGAAATGATGTCAGCACTTTGCATTAGAAGACTAAAACGCAAAAGGTGCGGTATGAGGAGCAGGTAAACAACTCTTTCTCTCTGTAAACCGGTCATGCCTGCTCACCGTGTTGGCTATTAACACAGTGTGTGTGTGTGTGTGTGAGGGGATGGATACTGTAAGTGTTTGGCTCAGAGTCAGTCCTGCTTTACTTCTGCAGAAATGCTGTTTAAACACACCCCGTTTTCTCCTCTGCTGAAATAATACTGTTTTTCGTCAGGCAAACAAAATATTGCCAAAGAGGGGGATTTTATATAGTGCTTTTTATATCTTGTGGTGTTTTTTTGTGTGTGTGTGGAAAACACTGACTGCAAGTGTGTTGCAATGATAGTGTTAAAGATCATTGTCAGAGCTGTTGTGCAACTGTCCATTTCTATGAAAATCAGCTAATTTGAGATACGCTTATGTTTGTACAGCCTGTTTCACAAACCACATGTGTGCTATCTGTTAGGGGTTATAAAACATTAAAACACACGAGACAGGAGTAGTGAACTTCATCCGTCTTGTTAACTCTTTCACTTCTGTTCTCACACATTACATAAAATATGTGTATATATATATATATATATATATGAAGAGTTCAGATGCAAAAGCCTCTAAGTGCCATTTGAAATTTTCTTGTAAAATGATCATTTTTATCAAGCTTGTATATTTAATCTTCATTGCCATTTAAGTGAAATTACTGAACTTAAATATACAAGCTTGATAAAAATTATCATTTTAGAAGAAAATTTCAAATGGCATTTAGAGGCTTTTGCATCTGAACTCTTCATATATAAATAGTAGTCAACAATACGATTCTTCTCATGAACAGAAGAGCATGTTTGAGAACTGTCAAAATCCTCTCATTGTGTTAAAAAAATGTAAAAAAAAATATTAATATAATTATGGAAGCTTGTTTTTCACCATTGAATAAAAAAGCTAATTTTGACGACTTATTTCACTATTCAGATTTTTTTTTTAAATCAGAACTGTGACATATGAGAAGTTGCATTTTTGAGAAATAACGCCAGAATTGGGAGTTATAATCTTGAAATTTTGCGCAAAAATAAAGTCAGAATTGCGAGATATAAACTTGGAATTGCAAGAAATAAAGTTGCAAGAAATAAGGTCATAATTGTGAGATACATTTGAAATTGCAAGAAATATGGATATAAACTTGGAATAGCGAGAAAAGTCAGAATTGCGAGAAATAAAATCAGCATTGCGAGAAATAAAGTCAGAATTGCAAAAAATAAAGTCAGAATTGCGAGAAAAGTCAGATTGTGAGAAATAAAGATTGCGAGAAATAAAGTCAGAATTGAGAGATATAAAGTCAGAATTGCGAGAAATAAAGTCAGAATTGCGAGATATAAAGTCAGAATTGCGAGAAATAAAGTCAGAATTGCAAGAAATAAAGTCAGAATTGCAAAAAATAAAGTCAGAATTGCAAGAAATAAAGTCAGAATTGCAAAAAATTCATAATTGCGAGAAAAGTCAGATTGTGAGAAATAAAGTCAGAATTGAGAGATATAAAGTCAGAATTGCGAGAAATAAAGTCAGAATTGCGAGATATAAAGTCAGAATTGCGAGAAATAAAGTCAGAATTGCAAGAAATAAAGTCAGAATTGCAAAAAATAAAGTCAGAATTGCAAGAAATAAAGTCAGAATTGCAAAAAATTCATAATTGCGAGAAAAGTCAGATTGTGAGAAATAAAGTCAGAATTGCGAGAAATAGTCAGATTGCGAGAAATAAAGTCAGAATTGCGAGAAAAGTCAGATTGTGAGAAATAAAGATTGCGAGAAATAAAGTCAGAATTGCGAGAAATAAAGTCAGAATTGCCAGAAATAGTCAGATTGCGAGAAATAAAGTCAGAATTACAAGAAATAATAAAGTCAGAATTACGAGAAATAAAGTCAGAATTGTGAGAAATAATAAAGTCAGATTGCGAAAAATAGTGTAATTGCAAGAAATGAGGTCCGAATCACGAGATAGACATTTGGAATAGCAAGAAAAGTTAGAATTGCGAGATATAAACTCTGAATTGTGAGGAATAAAGTTGCGAGAAATGTATGCGATAAGTTCAATCATGATTGCTAGAAGTCCGAATTGTGAGATTTAAACCTGTAATTGTGCAGAAAGAAGCTGTTATTGTGAGAACAAATGTTGAACGTGATCTGATGTCTCTCCTGCAGAAATGGTTCAGGATGCGAAACGCTCAGTGGAGGAAAGCAGAAGGCCTTCCGGCTGAACTGGGATCAGTGAAGGACTGAGGGAACATCTTCATGTGTTCTTGCTCTTTTTCTCTCTTTGTGCCTGTCGTTGTTCATTAGACATGAATGTGTTTTTGTTTTTTAATCTAAGTTGTAATCTTTTGCTCAATATGTATGTCATGTATTTTTATTGCTATTATAACTATCAAATGTACGTAAATAAACCAATGTAAGCATCTGTATATAAAGAATAACATTGTGTTTTCAGGGCTTTATTTTATAGAGCTTGTTTGCAGAGAAAGTGTGACAGATATCTTTAATATCTCAACTGTTTGTCCTGAAATGATATTAAACGGAGAGCAAATGGCCATGTCTTCTGCTTGATTCTTCAAATCTCAACATCTCAGACTAGTAGATATCAAAGTCTCCAATCAAAAGACTCAAATCAAAACCAAATACACTTTTGCTGTACAACAGTTGCTTTTTTTATTTGTTGCTCCATGAATAATCATGTCAGTGGACTCTCGGAGCGCTCAAAACACCAGCTCACAGTGTTCAGGACAGCGAATGAAATCCTGATGAAAAGGATAGTGAAAGAATGGATAAACGACAGAATCCATGTGGAAAACAGTGAAAGTGCGAACCAAACCCTGACGGCAGCGTTTCATTAAATATTTAAAGGGTTAGTTCACCCAAAAATGAAAATTAAGTCATTAATTACTCACCCCCATGCTGTACCAACCCCGTAAGACCTTCGTTCGTCTTCGGAACACAAATGAAGATATTTTTGATTAAATTTGAGAGCTGTATAACTACCACATTGGCTCCTAAGGGACTGCCTCTTGACGGCACATAAAAGTCAATAAAGAAAATGTTTAAATATCCCAAGTGACTACCGTGGCTCAACTATATGTTTATCAAGCGACGCGAATACTTTTTGTGCGAAAAAACAAACAAAAATAACGAGTTTATTCGACTATTTTTTTTCTTCCTTGTAGGCCAGAACGAGACTTCCTTATAGATTTCCACGACGCATGCGCGAGAATTGCGATCTGAAGTGGTGTAAGCTGGTGTACGCAGATCGCAAATCTCGCGCATGCGTCGTGGAAATCTATAAGGAAGTCTCGTTCTGGCCTACAAGGAAGAAAAAAATAGTCGAATAAACTCGTTATTTTTGTTTGTTTTTTCGCACAAAAAGTATTCGCGTCGCTTGATAAACATATAGTTGAGCCACGGTAGTCACTTGGGATATTTAAACATTTTCTTTATTGACTTTTATGTGCCGTCAAGAGGCAGTCCCTTAGGAGCCAATGTGGTAGTTATACAGCTCTCAAATTTAATCAAAAATATCTTCATTTGTGTTCCGAAGACGAACGAAGGTCTTACGGGGTTGGTACAGCATGGGGGTGAGTAATTAATGACTTAATTTTCATTTTTGGGTGAACTAACCCTTTAAGTCCTTAAACTAAGCAAACGATGGACGGATGAGGCCGCTTTAGAGTGCAGCTGACTGCAGCGGTGTGTGTTTCAGAGAGAGAGAGAGTGTGTATGGGAGTGTGTATGTGTTTGAAAGAGTGTGTGTGTTTGAGAGAGTAAGTGTGTGGGAGTGTTTGGGTGAGAGAGAGTGTGTGTTTGAAAGAGAGTGTGAGAGAGAGAGTGTTTGTGTGTGTGTTTGAGTGAGAGAGTGTGTGTGTGTGTTTGGGTGAGAGAGAGAGTGTGTGTTTGTGTGAGTGTGTGTTTGGGTGTGAGAGAGAGTGTTTAAGTGAGAGAGAGAATGTGTTTGAGTGAGAGAGAGAGAGTGTGAGTGTGTGTGTGTGTGTGTGTGTGTGTGTTTGAGTGCAAGAGAGAGAGAGAGTGTTTGTGGGAGTGTGTGTGTTTGAGTGCAAGAGTGTGTGTGTGTGTGTGTGTGTGTGTTTGAGTGAGAGAGTGCGTGTGTGTGTTTGGGTGAGAGAGAGAATGTGTTTGTGTGTTTGAGTGAGAGAGAGATTGTGTGTGTGTGTGTGTGTGTGTGTGTGTGTTTGAGTGCAAGAGAGAGAGAGAGTGTTTGTGGGAGTGTGTGTGTTTGAGTGCAAGAGTGTGTGTGTGTGTGTTTGAGTGCAAGAGAGAGAGAGTGTTTGTGGGAGTGTGTGTGTTTGAGTGCAAGAGTGTGTGTGTGTGTGTGTGTGTTTGAGTGCAAGAGAGAGAGAGAGTTTGTGGGAGTGTGTGTATTTGAGTGAGAGAGAGAGAGTGTGTGTGTGTGGGTGAGAGAGAGAGTGTGTGTTTGAGTGTGAGAGTATTTGTGTGTGTGTGTGTGGGTGAGAGAGAGAGTGTGTGTTTGAGTGAGAGAGAGAGTGTGTTTGAGCAAGAGCGAGTGTGAGAATGAGAGAGTGTGTGTGTCTGAGAGTGTGTGAGAGAGTGACAGAAAGAGAGTGTGTGCTTGTGCGTGTGTGTGTGTGTGTGTGTGTGTTTGTGTGTGTGTTGAGCAGTGGTGTGTGAAAAAAACACCCCACACCCTCTGTGGAAAAACAAACATGTTTATTTGACTGCTGCACAGATGCTGCCCTGAACACACACACACACACACACACACACACTGAAGTGTTGGTACTGCATATAAAAAAATCACAGACAACACATGTTCACAATTCAAACGGGATCAGAAAATAATGATTTCTCTCATTCACTTGCATTGACGAGGTCCAGCGGGGCTAGCGGAAGGGGCGGGACTTACCAGTGAGAGACTTGGCCACTCTGATTGGTTGATTGCACTAGTCTCCGCCCACCCCTGCACCAATCAGAACACTTGAGCGCTGTTTAATCTGTGTAGAGAAGCTTGAAAAGCTCTCGTGTTGATCAGCGGGGCAGAGCATTGGTTAACCTTGCTGATATTAGTTCTCTTGTCTGTTTTTCCTCCCTGCGGTATGGTCCTTTCATCTCACACATTTCCCGCAGCTTTTGTTGTTGGTTTTTATTGGTTTGGGCTAACCATTTTTTACCTTCTTGTCCAAGCAGTTGAAACAGCCAAAGCAAAAATGCAGTTTTACTCTCAATTCTTCGTGGTTAAAATGAAACATTTCAAATTGATTTATTAAAGGACAGAACATATTAATTAAATAATATTTATTTTTATTTTATGCAAGATTGCATCTGATGAAATGCCTCCCCGTTTGGTGCCTAAAGTGATTCACACACACATCTCTCACCTCTGACCTCACAACCGTCTGACTGGCTTCTGTTTGAAGAGTTCATATACAGCGAGAGGAACTAGATGTGTTCACTCAATCTGAGCCGCGGCATTGTGTGTTTCCCCGACGACTCGACAGACACAAGTGGAATCTGTCACCCACAGGTCAGAGAGAGAGAGAGAGACAGACAGAGAGACACAGAGAGAGAGAGGAGGATCATGGGAACTGGAAAGAACAGAGAGAGAGATCAGAAGGAAAACTGCAGTTAAACTGGCGAGATCAACTGGATAGTGAACTACTCTTCAATTAAACAAACACAAAGGAACATAATCCCTGGTAAATTGAAATCTTTATATATATATATATATATATATATATGAATATTAATTATTATATTAATTGAGCATTTATTGGTTATCAACAGTAAATGCAATATAACAACAAAACCATATATGTATATATATATATATATATGTGTGTGTGTGTGTGTGTGTGTGTGCTGTCAAATCGATTAATCAAATCAAACAAGTTTTTTATATATATATATATATATATATGAAGAGTTCAGATGCAAAAGCCTCTAAATGCCATTTGAAATTTTCTTCTAAAATGATCATTTTTATCAAGCTTGTATATTTAAGTTCAGTAATTTCACTTAAATGACAATTAATAGGTAATCTTCATCACATAATTGTTCTTATATAAAATGATTACGCTTTATATTACAGTAAACCGTGTAGAATGAAAGTCCAGGCAACAAGGTGGTGATAATGTCAGATTGTCTCAGTGTTTTCGCACTGAAAGCGATGGTCTGGAAACACTACAGATGTAAAACACAGTCCCGTTGGAGAAGCCAGACCTGTCTGGAATAATACAGTACTTTAATTTCAGTCAACGAGAGTCCAGAGACTACATCTGAGACCGTGATTAGAAAAGCAGAAGAACAAGAGACCGATCACCAAACTCCTGAGATGCTGAGAGAAAGACACAATAACACAAGATGGAAGGCACGTCTTTCTCTTGTTTGCTCAGGCCTGCCATGTTGGTTCTCTGGGTGGGACGTAATCTTTAGAGAGGGCTTTAGGAGCGGATAAATCCCGGATCCGAGCACTCGCCCTGGCTTTTCCTGCTCGTCTAGAAACCTGGAGGAGAAACCAAAGACAGCTGAATCAATACACCAGTAAAAATATGCAGCGGATATAAGTAGCTTAAAGCCACAACCATCAAGAGTATCTGTAATAAAACATGAATCAACATAATCTCTGCATAGCATCACATTAACGTATTAGCCGGACTTTAAAGACACACTATGCAAGAATTGTACCTTAAAGGAGTAGTTCACTTTTATAAAAACTTTTGCTGATTATTTACACACTTTCATGTCATCCAAGATGTCCACGTCTTTCTTTCTTCAGTCGAAAAGAAATTAAGGTTTTTGATGAAAACATTCCAGGATTTTCTCCATATAATGGACTTCAATGGGGTCCAAACAGTTCAAGGTCCAAAAGAAACTTTAAGTACAAACTGCAAACTTGTTCAAAGGGCTTTAAACGATTCCAGACGATAAATAAGGGTCTTATCAAGCGAAACGATCACTCGTTTTATAAATAAATAACAAAGTTTAAGTTTTATAAGCTTAAATGCTCGTCTTGCTCTGTTCTGTAACGCACTCCTGTTCGAACTCGTTCATCAAAATGAACAAATCTTTTTCCGAGTCATTTGGTTCATTCGGCGAAAGAAACGAACGAATTGATTGGGAAAAAGATTTGTTCATTTTGTTGAACGAGTTCGAACAGGAGAGTCACGAACGTGCACCACAGAACAGAGCAAGGCGAGCGTTTGATCTTATAAAACTTAAACTTTGTTATTTTTAAAAAAAATGAGCGATCGTTTCGCTTGATAAGACCCTTATTTATCGTCTGGAATCGTTTAAAGCCCTTTGAACAAGTTTGCAGTTTGTACTGAAAGTTTCTTTTGGACCTTGAACCGTTTGGACCCCATTGAAGTCCATTATATGGAGAAAATCCTGGAATGTTTTCATCAAAAACCTTAATTTCTTTTCGACTGAAGAAAGAAAGACATGGACATCTTGGATGACATGGGGGTGAGTAAATTATCAGCAAAAGTTTTTTGAAAAGTGAACTAATCCTTTAATATAACAGCTTCAACGTCATTTCGGTGGTAAACAAACTCATAGTAGGGCGAATCGCCGCTGGAAAAACCAAGTTTGAGAGGAGCGCCCCCGACAAATCTCACGAGAAGCACAACATGCTTTACATCAACAACATTTAAAGACACAGTTTTGTCGATAACAGTATTGTTTTCAGAAACTTGCACTTTGAAATACGTTTTCAAAAGTTTGCTTTTTTTTAGGCCCGCAATATTGTTGTCGTGTAAAATAGCGACCAAAAGAAGTCATTGGTTTCGTTGAAACGGCCCCTAAGGCTCTCTGAAATACGTGATTTAGGTTGGTCAATCTGTTTACTTTACTGTAATTCTCAGTGTATTACGTGGATAATATTTAGTTTTATTTAGAGCATTTATAGATATAAAGAGGTTGTCACGTTTTCAATGTGTTTAGTTCAGTTTTGTGATTGGTTTAGTCCTGTTAGTGTTTGCCAGTCTGTTTAATGAGTAATTCCCATCACCTGTGTTCTGTTAATTATCCCACAAGTCATTTAGGCTGTGTTTACACAGAAACAATTCTGAAGACAAAACGCAAAAGTGGCGTTGGTTGCGTCATCACTTTTTATTCTGCGTTTAGACGAGCGTTTTGTGTGGGAAATCCGCGTGCAAATGGTGATGCAAAAGTGTTTGAAATTCAATGTAGTATGCACTTCATGCGGCTAGGAGTGCACACAAGTCCACGCGCCTGCGTACAACCTTCACTGTCGAGCAGACTTTGCGTTTTTACCGTTTCCACGGGAACGCGGCGGTGGAGCGTTTTTAAGATTTCCACTCTGGCGGGTGGTTTCACTTTTTTGCGTTTTAAAGCCTCAAAAACGCCGTCGCCGTGTAAACGAAAGGAACATCCGATAAAATATTTTTACGTTTTTACTCGCGAGCGTTCTCGTGTATTCTCAGTGTTTGTTTGTCGTCGTCGATGTATGGTTGTGTATGTTTTGAAGTCCTGGCGTTGTTTCCTTTTGTTCCTGAAAGTTGAGTTTGTAAATAAAACAACTACATTGAGGTTCCTTTGTCCTCGTCTTCGACATCCTGCACAAACCTGACAAAGGCTTTCTGTTTTCAGTTAATGTAGTGCATAAATAACATAAGCGGCCCCTAAGTTAATAACTAATAATCTTTGCAATGAAAGTGAATCAATCAACACTAACTTTAGCTGGACAAAAACTATTACTCTAGAGCTGCTGTAATTCACTATCATCACCAGTGCTGTATAAATGAAGGTGACTTGACTCTTACGGGTCGGATCGGACTCTCTGGCCGTCCGGGGTCGTAGAAGTGTGTGTTCTCTCTGAGTCTGGGCAGTGAGAGCTGCTCGAGTCTGGATGTCATCTTGGCCGTTTGAGCTGCATATGAGATGGATGTCTGGACATTCTGGACACAAACACACAAAACCAGTGTAAACGGCGCTTGACTGCAAAACTCATCATCGCAATGAATCGTCTCAAAGCACCAGAACCCGTCCGTGGTTGTGTTCAGGGTTAGTTCACCCAAAAATGAAAATAACAGACATTTTTGGGTGAACTACACTCTTAGAAGAAAAGGTTCTATATAGAACCGTAAAGGGTTCTATCAGCGCTACGTATTTGGAACCCCTAAAAGGTTCTATACACTCTTAAAAAAAGGGTTCCTCTGGGTTCTATATAGAACCCTGGGGTTCCATACTTGGCCAATGGAACCTTTTACCAAAAAATGGTTCTATATAGAACCATTTTGAAGTTCCATATATGAAGCGGGGGATGGAATTCTAAATAGAACCATTTCTTCTAAGAGTGTACCCCTTTAAGAGCGCTGTAGGTTCAGACCTGTCTGTCGCTGGTGAAGTTCGGGTGGTTGGGTTTAGGGTTGGCCAGACGGAGGATTCGAGGTGAGACCATCACGTTCCTCACACTGGGACTCACGTGCCAGATTGGACAGTCATGCTCACACAGCAATGAGTGTGGAGAACTAGAGAAACACACACACACACACACACACACACATTAGAGAAAAAGATGCTGCTTTACACTAGCTTTCAAAAGTTTCGGGTCAGTACGATTTTTTTTTTTTTAATAAATAATTTTATTTAGCAAGGAGGAATTAAATTGATCAAAAGTGACAAAATAAGAGACATTTATGATGTTACAAAAGATTTGTATTTCAAATTAAAATTTATATAACAGTTTCCACAAAACTGTTTTCAATATTGAGGATTAAATCATCAAATTAGAGTGATTTCTGAAGGGTCATGTGACACTGAAGACTGGAGTAATGATGCTGAAAATACAGCTTTGATCACAGGAATAAATTCTAAACACAGAAAACATCTGTTTTAAATTGCAATTATATTTCACAATTTTTCATTTTTTTCTGTATGTTTGATCAAATAAATGCAGTCTTGGTGAGCAGAAGAGACTTATTTCAAAAACATGTAAAAATCTTACTGATCCAAAATGGCAAATTTTCAGACAGATTTTAGATGTGTTTTTTTTATTATATATATATATTTATATATATATATTGATTATATGTAACCAACAACCGCAGTGTTATCTTAGGATCACTAATTTTAGTATATCATGGTCATAATATACTACTATAACTTTTGTTAACATTTTGAATTACATTTGTTTTTTTGTTTTTTAATTTTAGGTTACTTTAATTTTAGTAAAAAACTATATATATATATATTTACATTTTGATTCGGTTTTTTAATTGATGTTTTTTTTTTTAGTTTTATATTAATGGCTTTAATAATAATATTGCTATCACACACTTTCTTTTGTAATAACATCATGTGCTGGTTTGATCAGAATCCGAACAAACGTCTGGTTCTTGAGATGTCACATGACAAAACTCCACAGGTTGTAAAATTGTGATGTAAGAATTTAAGAAAGGATGTAAGGATGTAAGAAAGACACACACACACAGAGAGAGAGATGTTGTATTGTCTTCCTGGAGCTCATTTTAACTCTGATCATCTTCCTGAATGTGAAGGTCCGGGTTCTCTTACTCGTGTCCCAGAGCGCTTCTGCCTCGGGCTTTAGGAGTCGCTAGCCGGGCGGCGTTCTCGTACTGAACCGCGTGAGAGGAAGAGTGGCAGATCTTCATCCTTCTCTCCTCTTCCTCTTTCCTACAGGAAGATTTCAGAAGGAAAGTCTGACATCCCAGAGAAAATTCGCCTTTTCAAATAAGACAATAGGACGAGTGTTACAGGATGTAGACTCTCTCTCTCTCTCTCTCTCTCTCTCTCTCTCTCTCTCTCTCTCTCTCTCACCACAGGATTTGTAAAGTTCTGCTATTTCTCAGAGTTGTCTTTTATAGGAGTGATTTTGACACTCTCTTGAGGAGAATGAGGAAACGTTCTTGCTAGCTGGACTCATTCTCTCAGTTTATCCATTATCTCATCAAATCTGTCTAGGCTATCTTTAACCGGAGCGCTAGACATTTGGACAGAGAGAGCAAGGCAGTTTCCCCTCGTAATATGGATGTGGGATTTGTCGGGATAAAATAGTATGCTTCATCAAACTAGCAGAGTATATGGTGTAAAACACACAGCCTAAACACTAGCTCACACTAGCCGTCGTCACGTGCTTGTTTCTGAACGCTGACCTCAAATTCTCATTCATTATTCACAGAAATGCTCCTTATGAGCTGAACCTGAGCTCTCACAACCGCCTGCATGTTCAATAATGATCAGATTTTAGAAACTAAGCCTGCATTTTCAGCATTACTCCAGTCTTCAGTGTCACATGACCCTTCAGAAATCACTCTAATATGATGATTTAATCCTCAATAAACATTTATGATTATTATCAACGTTAAATCAGCCGTGCTACTTTCTTTTTTGATGGTTCTTTGAAACCTCAAGAGTAACTTTATAAACATTATAAATATGTCACTTTTGATCAATTGAATGCATCCTTGCTGAATAAATGTAGGCCTGTTTTTTTTTTTTTTATATAACCTCAACCTCTCAATTGTATACATTTCGACATTTGTTTGGAGTGATGTGACTGGAAAGCTGAATCAGGAGTACCTGAGCTGAGTCTGGAGAGAGAAGTCTCTCTTATGTTGAGCCAGAGCCGTTATTCTGGGACTGGGAACGGCCCGCAGCGCTGAGCGGGACAGAGGCCGGATTGATTCCTGGTTTCCCCACGTCAGCGTCCTGAAGCCCCGAACACAAGCACAACAGACACCGCCTCACATTAGCTGGGTCAAGGGGCCAAACAACGGCTTGGGATATTTCATCCAAAAATGAAACTCTGTCAGTGTCAGTTATGACTCGCTGTCATGTTATTCGACCCCGTCAGACTTTTGTTCATCTTCACAACACAAATTAAGATATTTTTGTCAAATTTAGACTTTTTTTCTGTTAAAAAAATTATATAATGAGTGAGTTCATCATGAATCCATCAGTCGGTGTTACCTATAATAAGCGTTTACATTGGGACTATTTTACACTGGTTCGGATCGCTGCCGCGCCTGCGTGACTCGTCATAGACGTACACAGAGAGAAGTAGTTCCGGCTACAATGTTCTTCCGACTATTCTGTTAATAAACGCAAGTTAATTATCGCTCGCTAAAGCGCATAAAACGTAAAAAATAAAGCCTCTCTTTGATAAAGCCTCACAAATAACTTGCAAGGATTGAGACAGCAGTCATTTAGTAACAGCTTATTCTTTCTTTTTTAATTTTACCTACACACCAGTGTGAATAATTGTTTTTTCATTTTCAAAGAGGGCCAATATGCTTATCCTAGGCTTACATTTTTAAATTACAATGGGCTGATGTTTTTGTTATTGTATTTTCTATATTATTTCTGCATAAACATATCTGATTATAGTAAACATACCATTTGTATACATTTTGTCATCCTTGCTGCAAACTTACTGGGGTAAGGGGGGCCCTAAAATATTTTCTTGGGAAAAGTCGGGTCTTAGACACAAAAATGTTGGGAACCACTGTTGTACATCACACGTATAGGCTCACTATTGGCCGACGCTGGTCATGTGTTTGTGTGTGTGACGTACAACCCAGAAGAGCTGTGCTGTTACACTACGTGCACACACTCGAGGAAATTAATAGTTGAATAAAGTTGTTATTTTGTTTGTTTTTTTGCGCTCAAAAAGTATTCTCGTCGCTTGATAAACTTAAGATTGAGCCACTGTAGTCACTCGGACTATTTTAACAAAATGTCTTTAATAACTTTCTGGGCCGGCAAGTTTCGATCCCTTAAGAAGCCTATGCAGGAGTGATCCAGCTCTCAGATTTAATAAAAAAATATCTTAATTTGTGTCCTGAAGATGAACGACAGTCTTACGGGGTTGAACAACATGACGGAGAGTCATCACTGACATTTTCATTTTGGGGTGAACTATCCCTTTAATGTCTGTATTTGGCCAGTGCTGAAAAATATAAGCCTTGCGTTTATTTGTACACTCTCAGAAAAAAAAAACGTACGAAAGCTGTCACTGGGGAAAAAGGAACAATTTTGTCCCTTTTAGGAACTAATATGTACATTTTAGATGCTAATGTGTACCATTAAGGTACCAATATGCACTCTTTAGGTACAAAAGTGAACATTTTAGGTGCTAATATGTACATTTAGGTGCTAATATGTACATTTTAGGTGTTAAAATGTACACTTTAGGTGCTAATATGTACATTTTAGGTGCTAATGTGTACCATTAAGGCACCAATATGCACTCTCTTTAGGTACAAATGTGTACATTTTGAAAAGATACAGCCCCAGTGACCTTTTATTCTGTGGCTGAATATAGTTAGATTAGAGGTACTAATCAAGTTACACATAGAAATAAAATTAAGTTTTTACCAAGGTGTTGTGGCCCAAACAGTCTTGGACTTTTTTGGTTGAGCTAGAAATGAAATCCTGCAAGCAAACATGTTATCAGCCTCTTAAAAATATAAAGCATTTCATGAAAAACTAAATGTTATTCTGATATACATACCTATCCAAGTCTTACAGGAAATAAAAAAAACAAAAAACAATTACACACATTAGCACATTTTTCTGTAAAAATACCATGAGAGTATTTTTAGGATTTGATTTAAATGCAGACTTTACCTGAGTCCATTCTGTCCCGTGTGAAGACCTCTCGGCCCAAAGGATCCTGGGAAACTAAAAGGTCACTGAATACTCACGGTTCCCAAGGAAGCTGTTATTATGGCAACCGATGTCACATGGTGCAGCTCAGTCATCAAGTGACATCATAAAGTTTCCAGCAAAGATCAAACAATTATGTCATCGACAAAAAAGACAAACATATTCATGTGTTTAAATCGATATTTAATGGTTATCAAAAGACATATCAAATCTTCACTTGATTTCTGGCATTAAAAATCCAATTAAACACAGAAAGGTCAAGTTGCAAAGTTAATATACAGACCCAGACATTTGCAGTGTAGACAATCCTTACAGACAAATCAGTGAGTTACATTATAAACCGATCAAAGCAAGCTAGAGCTGGGCAAAGTTTGTGTTTACATAATATATGCACGTACTTTGTATAATTATTTTGTGTATATATAAATACACACACATACATGTACACATTTAAGAAATATTTGCATATACTATATGAATTTAGACATATACATAAATAAATTCTTAAATATATACATGCATGTGTGTGTGTGTGTGTGTGTGTGTGTGTATATTAGCGCTGTCAAACGATTAATCGCGATTAATCACATCCAAAATAAAAGTTTGTGTTTACATAATATATGTGGGTGCACTGTGTATAATTATTTTATATATATAAATACACACACATGCTTGTTGTATATATTTAACAAATTTTCATGTATATACTGTATATAGATTTATATATAATTTATATTATATATAAATATAAATATTTTATATATAATTTTTTTTCTTAAATATACATGTATGTGTGTATATTTATATATAAACAAAATAATTATACACAGTGCACCCACATATATTATGTAAACACAAACTTTTATTTTGGATGCGATTAATCATTTCACAGCCCTAATATATATATATATATATATATATTATACACATAATATATACACATACATATATATATGTATATATAATAATTATACACAGTACATAAACTCACATAAATTATGTAAACACAAACTTTTATTTTGGATGTGATTAATCGTTGCCCAGCACTAAAGCAAATGCATCAAACACACACATGAAAGAGCTTCAGTAGGTTCATAGCACACTCAAACATCCCATAATACACAATCACACAACTGAAAAACATCATAATCTTTGGCATCTTTTTCAAAATGCTCCGTCTGTATGTGTTAGTGTCATTAAAAGACCGAACTATCTGATCTAGTCGCTCTTCTACTCCAGAACAGGCTGTCTGCTTGTCATTTGGTGAATGTAAATCAAGCCCTGAATAAGCCATGAATCTTGTGTGGTCAGTTGTCCGCCATCATGTCGATGATGATGTCACGGGCGTCCTGCACACCGGTGTTGGCCACACACTTTCCCTTCTTCACCTGAGTGCCGATCACACTGAGCCGGTGTCCGTCGCCAACCGTGCCCAGATCCAGCGCCTCGTACAGGTCGGTGACCCCGCGGGCCCCGGGGACGTCCTGCAGGACACCATGATGAATTAGTCCAAAAACACCAGGAACGAGGGGTGTGTGTGATGTGGAGGATATCGTAATGATGATGTCAGACTCCAATGGTGTCGAATATGTCATTCACTTTAGAAGTTTAGACAAAGATTAACACCAAATGTGGTCTTTATTGTTCATCCCTGTTCAATTATTGGGAAATACTACACTTGTTTCAACCCAAATATGGTTCAATTTTAAATGACATTTTTAACCAGACGTATGGGTTTGTCCATATTTGACCCAGAATGGGTTATAACAATCCAACTTCCTGTTATTTCAGATAGATATGAAAAATTATATTGAGTCACTACTTGGGTTGAAAAATAGTAAAGCAAAACGCAGGTCTAAGTAAAGCTTTTATAATATTTATACCTGTTCTTTTATCTGTTTATATTATTTTATTTCATTTTAACTTGTATTTTTATTTTATATATTGCACTTTATATTTTCTTTTCCTATTTGTTGTAGTCGATATTTGATTTATATGCTAAACGTTGGACTATTGTCATGTTTATTTTTTGTAATCTAACCTAAGCCTTTAATTAAAATATATTTTTAGACTGCATCCTTTCAGTCTGTGAGATAAAGCCTAGACGAATGCATTTAAAATGCCTCCTAAAAAATAACCCTGAGAAAGTGAGTTTTCCTGAATATCATCAGCACAATTGAAAAATTTGATAGTGACCTGTCAATCATCTTATCATAGTAAACTAAAATGATGCATTTAAAAGTTAATGGCCAAGCGGATCTTTATAAAAGTCCACATTGTTATTGCAGATTACATTTAACACAGGTAACAGATTAAATGTTGATTATTAGTCTTTAAAACCCCTTTATCTGGTCGCGTACATCTGCCTTGTTTGTAGTTTTGATCACTTTTTACTCGTGTTTGTAGTACTGAATCCTCCTCCAAAGCGCAATGGATTGTGGGTAATATTTTATCTGTTATAATGAGCACAAATCCACACTTTTCAACACACTTATTTCAATCTCACGTACCGTTTAGGATGGATACTGTGGGCATTGAGATGCAGGGTTACTCAGTAATGCAGTGCTGCCACCTGATGGTGACTTTAGTATCAGTTCATTAAAGTATACTTTTATATATAAATTTAAATCTATGAATATGCTAATTAGCCCCGCCTCCACTCACTCACAGCCGCTCAGAGATCCACTTGGCCAACTTACTGAGGTAAACTCTGCACAATGGTCTCGCGCTTTACAACGTCAGACACATAGCGTAATAAATATGATTAGCCTTTAGTTTGACTATATTATCAAACATCTCAGATTCTGCTCATATCTAGCTTACTTGAACACACACACACACACACACACACACACACACACACGTCACTACGCAACAGATAACACGCACTTGTTCACTTGCACTGAAGAAATAGCGAAGATTAAAAAGCATTTGGTTAATAGAAAAGACATTATTTTCCAAAATCCTACTTTTTTATTGTACTTTGTTCTGTATTGATCAGTCCACCTAAAAATAAATGATTGGTGAAAAGGATGAGGATGAACAAGGAAGAGTGGAGGATTGAGATAAATTAGAAATTAATGTATGAAATCAAAATTTTATTATATATATATATATATATATATATATATGAAGAGTTTGGTTCCAAAACGCTATAAATCCATTTTGATGAATTTGAGTAAAACTGTGTTTTCTTTAGCAAGATAATGGGAAGATGAAAACCACTATTTTCTGTTTCAAATTTTCACATAGCATTTGTAGGTTATAATAACAATAAAAAATGAAATCCAGGTTTTGATTTTCAAAGATTTATTAAAAAAACAGATTGTTTTTTTTTCCCAAAAATGAAATAAATCCATTATTTATTTATTTTTCAAAATGCAATTAATCAAAATAAAATTTTACGTAAAATTAAACATTGACTTTTCAATACCGACTAGATCCAATACAGATTTTTGCAGTAACTCAATTTTAAAAAAAAAAGGCGTTTATCGCGTTTTGGAACCAAACTCTTCATATATATATATATATATATATTTATTTATTTTATTTTTTTAAGCTGTGACGTAGTTCATTTCTTTTTGGGTTAGTGCAAGTTTTGAATGTCCAGTAACTTAAAAATTTAGCAGCCAAATTGGCCGGCGAGTCAGAAAGTTAATTTCAAAGCCTGCATAAGAACAACATTAAAAGCTTGAGTTTAATCTCCCGTCTGAGCAGGCAGATGGCCCTGACACACTGGATCAGAGAGGATTAGTGTGTGTGTGTGTGTGTGTGTTCACCTGTTTGTTGGCGAGCAGCACTAGAGGAAGGCAGGGGTCGGCCGACAGGAGCTGATGGAGGAGGCGTTTGGCCAGAGGGAATCGCTCCGGGTCAGACGAGTCCACGACGAACACCATCACACGCGCTTTCCCCAGATACATCCGCCAGTAATCACGCAGCTTCTCCGTGCCTCCGACTGCAAACACACACACACACACACACACTAAATACTACGGAAACCCTCATGTCACGATTCAATCCACATCACAATGTGATATTATTGCGAGACATATGATAAAAGATTAACAAAAAATGGACTGTTTATTAAAATGTTAAATATAATATAATGAATATACTTTGGTCCTGATAACCCAAAGCACAGGACAATAGAGACACCAGAATAACAATATTCATGATTCTGAAGACTTATTTTAGATGAAAATACTGTTCTCGGTCACTGACTGGATATAGGTAAAATAAAGGTAAAATACGACATCTGGAATCCCATTGAATTATTATACATTATATATAGTTTTATATAGTACTGACATTAAAACTTTTCATTTTAGGTGAACTATACAGTACACAATGTCACCATCCCCGATAAATATTTATGCATTTCTGTATTGCGATATATAATATGACGGGATATATTGTTACACCCCTACTAAATACTAATGCTATTACACAGCTAACATCAACATTGCATTTATTTGATCAGTGCATGAGTTCAAACCCTATGCCACACACTGTAAAAAATGAATATGCTTTATCTAATCAAAACAATTGTGGCAACAGATTACAAGCAATATTAATTAGAATTGAGTGATAATTAATCAAATTAATTCCTTAAAAGTTAACCATTTAAAATTAGTAAAACTTACAACAACAACCTAAAAAACATAAATTAAACCCTCTGGGGTTCTTCGGGTCAATAATGACCCGAAGCGATTAAATAATTTTTTTTAAAAAAAATCGTAGCTTCATCGGAATGGTCCGAAACTTGGTGACTTTATTGGTACTTGGTATATGAACACCCAAAAAATTTGGGGACAGGATTTGAAAAGTCTAAGTGGTCGTAAAAAAAATAGTCACACTCAGGACCTTCGGGTCAAAAATGACCCGCATAGGAAATGAATGGGAGTTTTTTTGTGCGTACAATCTACAAATCAGCAACGATCTTGAAAAAAAGCACACAACAGTGAAAGGGTGAATCTATAAAACATCAAGAGTGCAAAACACACA